ATGACTTTTCAGATGTTGAAATTCTGTACCGACTTCTGATTTCTGAGGTGCATTGTCGCAGCCTGGGGGAGTAAAGGTCAAACTACTGAGTATGAGGGGTGAAAAGTGATCCTTTATTATGGGGGCACAAGGGTTTAAATAAGGTTCTGAGGGAACTTGCCAGAAGGGAAGGCGGAACTAGGGAGGGGCATGCTAAACAGAGACATACAAGGAAAGAGAGAAAAGTTTTAACCACAAACAGGGAGGAGTAACCATATAAGGACGGTCTAAACAAGGGAATGCTGTATTGCAGCAACGGGGAACCAATCAGAAACAAGGGGGAAAAGGGGTAGAGAATATAGGAATTCTTGTGAAATTGATAAAGTAGGATACACTAAAGGGTAAAAGGAACAATGCCATGAAATATAAACTTTAACATGATGGCCACACAGCTCTGCCAATCACTTGAAGGTGGTAAAAGTGATCTCTTCAGGAATTCCATTAACATTCTCATCTGTCTCCTCTTCCTGCCACCCAATGGCATATCTGTCAAGCTCTCCATTCTCCTCAGTGCCTAGCACAAGCTGATCTTGCCTTTTGTCCTGATGTCCCAGATCCTAACAATGTTCTTTCTACTTATGGAAGACAAGTTCTGAAGACCCCACACAGCCCTTTTACCCGGCCAAAGAGAGGTGGCCTACAGCAACTGTTCCCTTCTACACATTGCTGAGATAGATAGTGATTTGAACCCTTCAGCAAGCAGCAGCTCTGCTGTCCTAGAAGGAAGAAAGAAGCAGGTCACCCACAGGCCTATGGAGGTGCTGAAAGCTGTCTGGTTTTGTGTTTAAAGAAACTTCACAACCTGAGCATTCACGAGACTCTCTGGCAGACGCACTCTCAAAACCAGACACTTTAACTGCTGGGACCAAAGCCGCTTCACAGTGAGCAGTTGCAGTGAACCAACAGGTGCCGGGCTTGACTCCCTCCACACTCCACTCACACAGTCAGACCAGGTTTCCTTACCGGTTTGACTCCAGGTGTCCCATAGCAGAGTCTCAGAAGTCTAGTTCATTGAGGTAATTTATTCATGGCGCAGCCGTTATCCAAAAGGTCAGCAGTTCACAGCCTCTTGTGTCGGGCTCCTGCCCAGAGCTCAATCTGCATCTCAATCTGCAGTTTGCAAGCCCAGCTACCTGGACCAGATATATTCCTCAGCAGTTTGGAAAACAAATGAGGTAGCAATGTGCGTCACCCAAAGACAGTATGTTGTGTTACCAGGAACTAAGCTGAGATCACCACGCTGCAGGTATAGAGTAGGTATCATTTTAGTATGGCATCCTTAGGGAGGCAAGTAGGACCAAAGGCTTTTATACTAAAGGACACCTGGCAACTAACTTATGATTTTCTTGCTGCAGGCAGTATATTTTGGGGGAAGAATTTAGCTATAAACTCTGTCTTGCTATAAAGTTTCTGAGCATCCATTGTTCTGCCTGGCAAATCTTGATGAGTAGTACTATGTGCTGCTGAGATGCCCAGTATGAACACAAAGCATCTCCAATGTCCATACAAAACCTAACATATTTGGCTTACCATATATATATTTGTCAGTTAACTACACTTCTAACCTTAAGGCACTTGCTCCATTGCATTTGTCACATGTACAGCTGGCATGTAGTACTGAGTAGTCACATCCCTGTGATTTCTAGTCAACTTTTCCTACTTTATATAATTTCATAAAATCAAGAGGATTCTAACAATGTTGTGTCACACAATTTACTGTGATAGGATTAAATTTTCTTTAAAAAGAAACGGTATTAAAGTTTAATCACAAGGGATTTTACATAGATCATTGCAACCAGTACACTCTCCTTCCTCTATCACTTATCATTCTTTGAGGAAATAAGCAAAATAATTCACTGCATGAAGAAAAACTATACAGGAGGACCATGTCAGATAATTTACCACCTGGATGTTATCCCAATACTGAGAAGAGGCAATAAGAATGATACTTCAGAAATTATACAGAAAAAGTCTTTGGTGTCATGGTAACAGAATGAAGAACCAAAGCCCCTCTCTGAGTTACTTTCATAATCAGAAGAAAGCGTGTCTCTGAATTCATGAGTAGCCTGTGGCAACAGGGCTACTTTCCAATATCTGACAAATCAGAGAGGAGAAGATCTAAAAAAGAGGTATTACAGTATTGAAGAGATATGCACTCAAAATACAGTAAAGCAGGAGAAAGCTTAAGAAGGGAGATAAGAATATGATATATCATTTTCACCCTGAACTAGGACCCCCCAGATTCTTACACAATGTCCATTAGACTACAGGAAACAGAACCTTTTTGCATCCTGCAGTATGCTTCCCTGAAAAAACTTCTAAAAAATTTATTCTCAGGACTCTGAATACTATGCAGCAGTGATAACCTAGCAGACAAGTTCAACTTGTGTGTCTCGATCTGTCTTACACTAGAGGAAAAACCTGAAAAAGGTGAAAATAGAGAAGAGCAAAAAATAGCATATCTGTGTTGTTATAAGTTAGTTTAAGAATTTAGACAACTCAATTCCAATTAAAAATTGATAAATTTATTAAGCAAGCGATAATAAAGCAAACAGTGCTGGGTGGTCTGGGGGGCAAGTGCCCGCCCGAGACACACCCACATTGTTTGAAAACCGCGCTTTTTTTACCCTTTCGATATCAGTTGTTGAATATTCATTCATTGTCCGTTTGTTGCCTTAAAAGGTAATTTTCCCTGCTTTGGAGGTGGGTGTTACCTTTTGGCTGGTTGTTACTTATCTCCCCTGGGCTCGTACAGGGGAGTCTTGCATCATCCCCACACTGCAAGGCATGGAGGGCCTCTCTGTATCCACATGGCACAGAGAAATACATTTTTATTTATAATTTGTTCCCTGTTCCCGGCCGCAAAAGATTCCCTGGTGTTAGGTCCAGACAGGACCCTTCACCTTACAGACTCCACGGTACGCCTAGAAGTTAGTAAATATACAGAAATAGTTCTTTTGTTAGTACCTCCTTTTTATTTTAATTTGCTTGGAATGAAACCGGTGCCTTTACTTATCACATGTGTCAAACTCCTTTACTGTCAATTTATGTAGCAGAAACTCATAATTCTGCAGAATGTATGTGTGTGTATGTACATACCTGTATAGAGAGTGAGAGAGAAAGAGGAAGAGAGAGAAGTAAAATAGGAAGAGGTTCGGTTATACCAGATAGCCAAAGGTAAACAACTGCTCTGTGACTAACTGCAAGTAATCATCTAACTGTCAGATCAGTTAAACAGAATTTCTTAAGGGTCAGCACTGAGGCTGACACTGTTTAACATCATCATTAATGACTTGGAAAAGGGGACAGAAGGATCCTAAGCAAGTTGGCATATGACACAAAATTGCAGGGAGCACATGAAAGGCAGACCTGTAATTCATATTGACCTTGACAAGCTGGAGGAATGGGCTACTAGGGAACCCATAATATATACACAGAGAGGCTAATCTAACTGGGTGTCATAGTTCTGATTTTAGAAAGGAATTTTTCTTTTCCTTTCCCCTTCTTCCCCCTCCCCCCCTGCATGAATGCTATTCAAGAACCATCAAGTGAACAAAAGAGTCGGCCTGGCTCCTAACGACCGAGAATTAGTCTCCTGGCAACGACGAGGGAGGAGTTGGGAAGAAGGCGGGGTGGTTGGGAGCTTAGCTCGGGAGCAGGAGGGGAGGCTACAGCTGGCAGGGGGAGACTGCCTGGTTTCTCCTTTGTTTCTTCTTCCCTGTGGGAGCTCTCTGCAGAGTTACGGGCTGGTTGCAGTCTTGGTTCTTTTCCACAGCGGGACTTTCACTGAGTCGTGAGTTTTTTTCTTCCATTGGGAGAACTTTCTGTTTCCCTTCCCCCTCCCCCCTCCTCCCTTTCCACCCGGCGGAGACCTGGGATCCAACAGCGCCGCCCGGTGACGAGCGCTGGACATTGCAAGTTCCACTCCTCTAGTGATCCAACAGCGCCACCTGGTGACTACTATAGAACATTACAAGTTCTTCACTTTTGATAACTCAACAGCGCCACCTGGTGACTACTATAGAACATTACAAGTTCTGCACTTTTGATAACTCAACAGCGCCACCTGGTGAACGGTATAAGACATTGCAAGTTTTTACATCTCCAGTGACGCGACGGCGCCCCCTGCTGACTGTGGCTGGAACTGCACCAAAGAGTGCTAAAAATTGAA